AAGCAGAAAGTAGGCTGTTGCTTAACAAATACCAGAAAAAGCAGATATTCAGAGAGTATCTCTAAATTTTTGAATTTGATTCTTTTTCTTCCTCATTCTCTATCATCGTTTTTATCATCATGAACACTTTTGTAAAGGGAGCATTTGTAAAGTACTTACTATGCTGACTTTCCCTGCTTTATCTTATTTAATCTTATCGTAGTTGTTAGAGAGATGTGTTTCACTATTCCATTTTTCAGATGAAGAAACTGAGCATGGAGTGTATAAACACCTAATTCAAGGTTATGCAACCAGTAAAAGTGGAAGCTAATGCTTCACCAAGGTGTATAAATCCCAGAGTCTATCCTTCCAGGCCCTGCAGTCAAACATCTAAGTGGACTTTCTAGAGCTGTTCAACTCTCACAGATCTGTGGTTTAGATGCTGAATCAGCCCAACCTAATGGCCGTGGAAGGTGCAAATTCTCATAGGAAGTAGACCAGAGTATTGGGCCAGCTCTGGTTCTCACAATTCTCCAGAGGCCTTCCTCAACTTTCAGGAAGCCTCTGGTGGTTTTATGAGAGGTCACATCTACTAGACTGAACAAAGACCCACATCCAGGAAGAAATGATCTAAACATCTATTTCCCAAAGACCAGTTCTCTTTTATTAACACACACATCACTAGGTTTTAATCTGTAGACTGTTCCCAGTGATATTATCCCCTGCATCTTGTATGTCCATGAGTCCCAAAGTTCAGTTGGAGAGAGAGGTACAAAGATTAGTGAAAAGATCATAGCCTTTGAATGTAGCTATACTTGGGTTTGAGATCCAGCCCCACTACTTAGTACTTTTGTAACTTTGGACAGCTAGGTTACTTAATGTCTCTGTGCTTGTGGTTTTTGCCTTTAAAATCTGCATAGCAATAAAAGTTGCCATGTTGTTATAGAGATTAAAGGAAATATCTGTATATATATATTTTCTACAGTGTCTGGCACATGTAGACTCTCATCCTTGGAATTTTTAACTGCAGTGATTATTTAAGTGACTTTTACATTTCCAGTTCTAATGTTACTATAGCCAAGGCATTCCTCTCTTCACCTCTTAGTGGATTGTATGTATTATACCAGCTGTCAGGATCTTCTCAAATGATCCTTTACTTGTGTCTCTGCTCAGTTTAGGAATTAAGTGTTCATAACCCAGGGACTTAATTGATTCCTAGGTCATACCACCAGATGATCTGCCCAGTACCTCTTTTGCTGATAGGGATTCAGGGATATATATATTGTATCTAAACATACTAATCCCAACCCATTTTGTCAACTTTAGCGAACAAGGCACATCTCCCAACTGCTTGCATTCCATTGATTTCTGTGCTGTTTTTTTTCCATAACCACTTTTTTTGTGCCATAATACAGTTGACCCTTGAAAAACATGGGTTTGACCTGTTTGGGTCCACTTACATGTAGATATTTTCCAGTTTAATAAATAAAACAATATCAACAGAGTTCAAGTTCCCCGTTGTGTTCCTCCAATTGTAATTTCCTTCCTGCCCAATCAGAAGTGTGTAACTGTTATCCAAAATTTGATATTTACCATTCTCACGCATTTTTGTACTGTGCATATGTGTACTCCTAGGCGATATGCCATATGTCATATTTTTGTACATTTTTAGCCTTTGTATGAATGACATCATACTGTATGTGTGTGTGTGTGTGTGTGTGTTCTTCACCTTATTTTGTATTTTCCACTGACATTGTTTTATGAGATTAATTTTTTTTTAAAACTTCTGGAGCACTGGACTCTATTTGCTGTCACTGTTACTGTGCCTTCTCATCTCCTTGGGTTGGACTTGTTCCTCCATTGGTTTTGTTCTGAGGTCCTGTAACTGACAGTCTTTTCTTCTTACTGTACAGCCTTTCCATGTGTATTCCCTGTCTCACTTGGCTTCTACAAAGCTCTTGTGTTCTCCTGATATCCAGATCTGTTTGTCTGAAAACCTGCTGGGTATCTGCAACAGGATATCCTGCAAGTACCATAAATTTCATCCCTCAAAAAGTGAGTTCATTATCTTCTCCCTAGATGCAATTTCTTCTGCTTTTCTTCCATTTGGGTAAGGACACACCATCAAATCTGTGGTCCATGATGTTAAATGGTCATTTGAAATCCCTAATATTCTTTACTCTTCACAATGACTCAAATCACTAAATCCTCTGAAGGCTAAAAGCAGAAAGCAAGCTACTGGAACAAGACCCATAATAATACATACACATTATAAGGAAGACGTAAGCCAGTGAAGTTTTGCCTGGCTTTGTTTTTTCTCACATACGGTCTGAGCCAAGTGCCCAGGTCAGTGGGCAGCTTGGCTCAGTGTAGCTCTTCTGAGACTGACTGTAAGAGCTCTTTCATCTGCAACATTACTTCCAAGGTCACCGTTCCAGCCAGTGGGGGAGAGAGAGTGGAAATCTAGGGTCAAAAACAGAATCTTAAGCGATGTAAGTTGTTCAAATCCCTACCATGTACATTTTTTGTGTTACAAGGGTCTAAGAAACAGTCTCAAGTGAGTAGTCACCCCCTAGCTGTATCTGTACACCCTGGCGGCACAGGGGAACGAGCCTGTGGACAGGCCCTGTCTGTGCCACAGGTAGCTTCGTGGATGTCTTTCATGGGCTTCCTTTCCTCACCTCATGTAGATGCCACTGCTGTAGTCCAAGGCTTCAACATCTCTGCCTTAAACTACTTGAAATTACCTTTGGCCTGGTTATGTTTATTCCTATTTAAGCTATTACCAATGCTAATGTCAAAACTATCTCTATAAAAAATTAGCACTCTGTTATTTCCATCCAGAAAATAAAAAACTCTAGTGCACAGTGTAATGAATAAAGACAACAGTATTGTGCTTAAAATCATGTACTTTTCTGAGAGACTAAAACTTAGTTATCCCAACCACTGAAAAGAAAAGGATAGTTATGTAATATGATCTCTACTATGGTAATCATATTACAATATGCAAATGTGTCAAATTAACATATACACCTTAAATTTGTTTTATGTCAACTATATTCAATTTAAAAAATTGAAAGTTCAGTATCCCTCTGGGATTTCTGCAATTCTTATGATAAACTCTATGATGCATGAAAGATGAACAGAACAGTCACAACCTAGCCTCAGGTAACTTCTTTAACCTTGTTCCCTGACACTCTTTCCATATATTCTATACTTTGAACACTTTTAGTTCACTATTACTTACCATGCTTTGTATTTTCACAGCAGTATGTCTTTATTTTTGGAATTTCCTGCTAGGAGAGCTCCTTCTCCTTAGGACTGTTACTCCCATCCATGGCTTTCCCAGCTAACCTTCCACCGAGCAGAGCTCATTGCTGCTGCACTCACCTTGCCACGTATGTAAAGCTTCACTGCTCAGCATGCGGTCTTCCAACCAGCAGCATTTGTCTCAGTTGGAAACTGGTTAAAATGCAGAATATTGGGCCCAGCCTGACCCACTGAGCAGCCTCTGCCTTTGTAATCAGCTCCCATGTGATTTGGTACTGCTGGTGCCCAGGCTTTAGAAATAGTACATGCGCACTTGATTGCTGACTCATCGTCCCGTGTAGACCTTAAGTTCCTCATGTAGGAACTGCATCTTGTTCAGCGTGGAGTCCTCAAAAGCTTCTGCAGAGCGTCTGCCACAGAGTGGCTCTCCGTACCTGTGTATTGAGCATCTGGAGTCATAGTCAGTCTTGTCCTCTCCGGACACGCACAGTCTTACAGGACATCTTGCTTTGGGGTTCGGTGTTTTCAGCTCTATACCGACCAAATTGTTGGTCTCTGTGAGAAACAGAAGAGTTTTCTGCCCTTCCCAGACCAAGTCCTTTTAAACTTGTGAACATTACATATATAGGTCACATAAATTGGATGAAACAAAATTGCAGTGTATACTCACAATTTTTTGTTATGCCTATAAAGAAGCCATTAGCCAGAAGGATAGTTTCATAAACAAATGTTAGAGTAACATGTAGTATGATGTAAATAAAAGATAATGTATCTTTTTAACAACAAATAAAATTCTATCACAAGTTACAGGTTTCCTGTGAATTCAGTTTAATAGAGTATGTAAAGGGAAGCATAATCTAAAATTTAAATTTATATTATCATATATTTAAATATATATACTTACTTATATTTCATGTTTATCTTATATAAATATTATAAATATTTAATATATATGCCAGCTTAGAAGTTAAAGGTATTGTTAGTATTGATCTTTTTATTTTGTTATTTATGATCAGGCAAATCTCTAAATTACTTTCAGTTGGTCCAATGTAGATCATACAGCATTGAGTATATTTCAGTTGTTGACTAATGTACAGATATATAAGTATTGTTTTCTGTATGATGGTAAGTGGTCAGTCTATGATTAAGCATGCATTAAATTCAGCCATGATGCTGACTTTCCATTTGAATAGATTGACCTATTAAGATTCCTTTTTTTTTCCTACTTTCTACATGAAGTGTAAAGAAGGGTTTTTACTTACTGTGTGTAATGTAGGTGAAATTAAGTCAGTAAATTTTTATTTAAGGAATTTCACATGTTGTGATTCCTTCCACTGCCAATCACCTTAGCTCCTCCAACGTTTGAGTCATGATCTTCAAGACAGTCCTTTTAAAATCAACTGTTGTTCAATCCACAATTTTTATCAGTCGGTCCTATGTAATGGAAGTATAAAGTTAAGGTTCCTTTTAAGTTCTGAAGCCAGGTGTGTGTGCTCTATAATTTACCTGGTTACTAGTGAAGCCAGAGATTTGACCAGGCAAAGGGTATTTGCAAGACTCCAGAGAACTAGGCATGCCCTGTTCAATATGATAGCCACTAGCCATGTTTGGATCAGTGAAAATGTGAAATATGTCTGTTGTACAAATCTGAGTGATTACCAGTGGCTATTTACAGAGTCAAATATGGTTCGTTTGTTTATATTGGACAGTGCTAATGCAGGCAATGGAAATAAATCAAGGAACAGTTAATAACATGTTCCCAAAAGGCTGAATACTAACAAGGTAGCAGAAAGAAAACCTAGTGGGAATTTTTTTTTGTGGTTCATGTCCACAGCAACTGTTAAGCTTTCTTTTGTTGTTTCTTTTTTCTTTTAATATGGTTTGTCTAAAAGTCTGTGGCAAAGAAATACGTATTTTATCAGTACTATTTTAAGGACAGATGACAGCATGATTCTTGATAACAATTTCCTGAGCTACAGGGTCAGATGCACAACTTTCTCATTAGAAACACTTAATGCCAATATTTACTTTCAGTGTTGGTCTTACAAAATTGATATGTCACTAGAGGCATGTGATGGGTCCTGTTGGCAAAGTAGGAATAAAAAACAAACAGATACAGTGAATGAGAATGCCAACTCAAAAAAAATTATTTTCATATGGGCTCAATTGTCCAGGAGCATTCCTATATAGTCTTCTAAATTCATGAACATACAGTAATACTCTGATTTTTATGATGGTTTTGTATGCAGATTTTTATAGTCAGAGTTTAATAGATGAATTTAATAGATGTATAAATGCAATTAATTGTTTTGTGTGTGACTATTGGGTTTTTTTAAACCAAATAAAAAGGCATATTGGTGTCAGCCAAACTTTTAATTTTTAAATATTGGAGAGTTATTTCAAGATTTACCTAAGTCTCAATTTCTGAATAGGAACTGTAATTCTTCTTTGCTTAGATGATCATTTTTTATTGCCCTAGCCAACGTGGTCTTGCACATATAGAAATAACTCTATTTAATGGAAATGAAGAAATATTGTAGTTTCAAGTCTAATAGTAGTTTTACCTGGGCTTTAAAGAAATAATATTTTACAATGTAAGAACCTATACAATACAGATTGTTCAACTCAATAAACACTTGTAGAGTATCCTCTTTGGGTGGGGAGCTAGGAATGAACAAGTGCCTAACTTTGAGGAGAAACCTAAACAGACTACTTTGGTGCAGGGTTTCAGTGCTAAGATAAGACTTTTGACATTGCACCATGAGGGTTCTAAGAATGGGATGGTTTGTTCATCCCAAAGTGACTTGGAATACATGACGTCCAAGCTGGGTACTGAAGGATTTGTAGATTTTTTACAGGTGAAGTGAAAAGTGGAGGTGAAGAGGATATACTTGTTAGAATGTGTCCAGGTAGAGAAGAGCAAGTAACATTCATAAAAGCAGATAGCCCTGCCAGAATATGCCATGTGTTTATGGAGAAGAGATTATCAAACAGCAGTTTAAGATGACTGGAATGTAAAGAAAATAGGGCAGAAGTCGAGGATAAGACTGGACTGGTAAGCAAGAGCTAATCTAATCATCAAGCTGCAGGTATCAAAGAAGCCTATAGTTTTACCACTGGTGGCAAGATAGTGGAGATTTAGAGTGAGGGGTGATAGGAAAGGGATCCGTTAGTCATTTGTCCAAGAATAGAGCTCACTTAATGGAGCTTCTATAAAACAAATGTATTTTTCTAGTTCCATTTTTGTATTGCTGCCCAAATTGGTCAATTTCACTAGGCAAAAATGTTTACTTTCCTAGAAGTAATGTATTTCTGCTTAGATATTAGTGAATCTTTAAAATCAAATTGAAAAAAAAGAACTTTTTGTTATTATCAGTGCTTTTGTGCTAAATTTTATATAAATCATTAGTTTGAAGTATGAAAAGTAAAGTATGATTCAACAAATATGCAGTTAGATTGGCAACACAATTTTTTAAGAGAAATATTTTAATGTCCACTCCTAATATTTTTCACTAGTCCATAACTAGGTATGTTTCCTAACTGATAGGCAGATATGAAACAGCTATCACAGAAGAGCTTGGAAATATGACAGGATATGCTTGGAAAGCCTTTGCTCTATATTAACTCAGAAAAACAATCATTGGCAGTTCGTTGCTGAGCTAAATACATTTGGGACATGAAATCTTAAAACATAATTGTCTAGTGGACATAAAACAACTAATCCATAGGAGCAGAGGTACAAAGTCAGAACAGCAAGAACCATGAAGAACTCGAGCTTTATGGTTTTTATTTTGCCTACTTTGTTTTATTTTCCTTCTGCACAAAAATTGTTATAAATTTTCCACTTGCTAGAAAGGATTTTTAAAGTATTGCTGGACAGTTTAGCTTATTTTCCTTCCGCACAAAAATTGTTATAAATTTTCCACTTGCTAGAAAGGATTTTTCAAGTATTACTGGACAGTTTAGCTTATTTTCCTCATGTATAAATCTGTATGTAATCATTTTAGCAGGTGAGAGAATTCAAGGAAGTGGTGACTTGCTAGGAAATGAGTTTGCAAGGCTGTGAATTTTTTTTCATTAGTGGTATGATTTTCCAAATATCTCATTTTATTTTTGTGTTAAAAGGTACTTTTCCATATTATCACTTCTACATTGTATAAGTCTACCCACTAGGAGGCACTCTTTCCAAGCTCTCCCAGACCACCAGGAAACTTCCCCAATAAACCCAGTGGGTTTTATTTGCCTTTTCTATTTTTGTTTTTAAGCTAAAGGTTTTTGCACTCAGTGTCTGTCTACTAGTGGAGGTGGGCTTTTATTGTTGTAAAAAAAAGAAAAAAAAGAAAATACTTCCAAATGTCTTATTGGTACCTATTTTTCTAGGTACTATTTTGTGGAGATAATTTGTTAATTTATTTGGTATCGAATGTTCATTGAGCATTTTAATAATAACCTTTAAGATAGTGATTCTCTCCCTGATTTTTTTCTCTTAGATAAAAACGTACAGAGCCTTAAGTATATCTCAGCTGTGAATAGTTGAGCACATTAAGTCACAATAGAATGCAGTGTTACCCAAAGCAAACATGACTTGTATAGAAAGAGCTTTCTTTCAGACTCAGAAAATCATCAAACTGTAGGTCTGGTTTGTCGTATATATACATGTACCTACACAAAGATTAGAATGACCAGGCTATAGGGAATATTTCCTTAGTGATATATGAAAGTCATTCTCATCATTGCTCTCTCACACTGATATATGCAAGCCCCTGATAATAATGATACATAAAATTAAAGTTATTAATGATGTCAGAAAGAATTCTGCACTTAGAGGTAGTAATTAATACAACTGTTAAATGTTGAGATAATTTCAAGCTTCTGTTACCAGAGATTATAACTGAACATTTAAAATATACTTCATATCGAAATCAGTTGGTTTGCTTTAAAAAGCATGGTTTCTCACATGTGTTACATTAGAGTTAGAGATCTGGCTGCATTGGTTCATTTTAATTTACCGAGTGTATACTACGAGTCGGGCCCTGTTTCCAGCTTTGTTTAGAGTTAGTAAATATCCAGACAAAATCCCTTTACTTGGGGTGTTTATATTTGGTAGTGGTGGCAGTGTGGGGGTCAGGGATACATAATGGGTCAGGATGAAGTACAATGAGAAAAGGTAAGGTGGTTGTAAAGGATTGAGAGTAATAGAAGTCGAGCTATTTAATACAAGGAGGCCCAGGAAGGTCTCTCAGAGAGGTATCATTTGAGCAGAGATCAGACAGAAATGAGAGAGCCATGCATATTGCTGGGGGAAGACATTCCAGATAAAAAGGAAAAGTAAATGCAGGCCTGAGGTTTATTCTAGGAATAGTGAGAGAGCCTGGGTCTGAAATGTGGAGGAGGGTGTAACAGAGGAAGTCAGAGAGATATGAGAAGGCCTCTAGAATTTTCCTCCAGGTGAGACAGGAAGTCCTTGGCGGGATTTGTGCGGAAGAGTGAACTGACCTGCCTAACTTTTCAGAGGATTTACTCTTAAGTTCTGAGGTTAGAATCTAGATTCTATGGACCTGGAATGAAAGTAGGAAGACTGGTATAAGTCGTTTTGCATTTGTCTGGGCAAGAGATGGTGGCTCTGCATGAACTTGAGGAAGTTCCTTAACTCTGTTGAGGCTGTTGAGGATAATGAGACCCGTGTATCAGCTTGTTTTGAGGATTAAGTGACAGAACATGCTGGGTCCACTTGGCCAAGCCTTTGTGAAACTGATTCATTCAGAAGATCATTTTCAGAGCTTCACACATGCACACACACATATGCACGCACGCACGTGTGTGCACGCATGCACACTTGAGAATATATATACTGATCTGTTTCACCCAATCAGAATCCTTTATCATAAGAGTCAATCTACTTACTGTTCCTCCAGTGTGCTCTCTCTTCTGTCATTTTCCACATTAACTGTATTTCTCAACACAGTTCTGAGTATGTGTTTCTTTGCCTGCACATCCACCCCCAATTCACAAACCCGTGATGGTTCCCTCTAACTTTGAATTAGTATTCGAAAACCTTTTAGAACTCAGCTTCATGCCCCCGGTGTTTAAGCAATGCCAGACTGCTTGCTATTTCCTGTAAATGCCCTGTTCTCTAATCCTCTTGTTTGATTTTGGTTCTTTTTGCCTGGAATGCTGAGCATATGGATCTCAGTCCACCCACACAGATATGAGGAATATAACTCTGTTTGATCATAGTTAACTTGAGCCCCGTTCTGCTGGACAGTGGAAACATAATCTGGCAATTCTGGTTTCCCTTGACGTTTTCTTGAAGCTGTACTTGGGTTCCAGCGGACTCTTGTAATAGTGAGCCATCTGCGGGAGGAAGGCAGGGCGCCCTCAGTCTTGACCTCTGTGGTCAATCATTGGCAATTCCTCGTTGGTGGCACCCCGGAGACGTCTGTCATTCAGCTGCCCCAAAGTCAGGGACTAAAGTCTTCAGTTCTGCTCTTACAGTGAGTGGTTGTACTCCCTGTTTCTCAGGGGAGAGTAGTTCTGGGGCTTTGCGTCTCCCCAGGATACCCACTCCCAGTTTCTGTTCCCTCTGGGCTGTGACTGGCAGCAGTGGACTGAGGGGAATAGCTGTAACGTAGTTGGGCAAGTTTTACACTCTGATACAGAGAAGAGAGATTGATTATGATCTTGAGAATTATGGAAATTCATAGTCTATATGTTCAACAGAAAAAAAGTCTGAGAAAATAGTCATGTGAATTTCCAATAGTTATTTTGTTGGTTTTAGTTATTGAGTCTGTGGGCATCACAAAATTTATACCCTTACCCGTTAACACCCAC